GTGGGTGCATTACCCAGTCGGGGATAACAAATACTGGTCACAAAAGACCCAATTTAGCATACCGTTTCTCAACGAGTTATAGACAAAACCCGTAATTCTTGAGCCTCGGTTGTGGCAACTTTGTCTAATGCTGCAGCGTTGTTAAGTTGATGACAGTTATGGGGGTGTGCACACCCTCTGTCAGTGACCAGTGTGCGACCCCCACACATTCTTATTTCTTTACCAAGCTTTGCAACATCAACACGTAGAAAATATTTTTTTCAACATCTGTTGACTTCAGAATATACCAAAAGTTTTTGTTCTGACTCTCCTACTACGGCGTGACTAAAGTTTCTGTCGAGGCTAAAAGTCTATGGGTCGTGGCTCTGGTCGGCTGGAGACAATGAAAGACATGGCATCGAAACAACGGTATTGGCGTTTCTGTTGTTGCTTTCATCAAGTCAACATGCTTGAAGAAGGTTGTACACAGTTTGACTGTGCCCCCCTGTATTGTTCGGAAGTTCACCTTTCTCTTCCCTCGAAAGGTTTCGGGCCCCCGTCTACTTTACTCATTAATACTTACTTCGTGCATATTAAAAGTTCAGCAGCAATCAGCGAAGTCTACTTTACCGTACTCTTCTACACAATGATTCCGTTCACCGAAAACTCTAAAGACGAGGATGGTGCACCCTTGATATTTAAAATATCTCTTTTACGGTAGCAAGCTGTTATGTATTGCCAAGACGATATGATCGATTCGAGCGCCTCTTGACTAGGCCCGAAAACACACTCAACACTTAATGTGCTACAGTAGCCACTTAACTGAGTGCGGTACTGGAAAATTCTACTTGATCGATAATTTGTAAGACCCTGCGAATAGGGCACTTAACGAAAACCGTTCCTGGTTTTGAACGATTTGCTTAGCCTATCGTAAATCCTCATGCTACTAGAAGTCTGTAAGTAAACTGATCTTAGTAGGGTTACACAGTTCTGCAGCATTCCTTTGCGAGGGAGCGAACCAATTAGGGCCTCGTAATCAACTGTATAAAAGGCTCCTTTTAGATCGATCGACGATAAGAGGCGTAGCTCAAGCGAAGTTTTAGTCAATACTATCGCAATCTGTTCGCAATCCGGCTTGCTGCCCACAAACTTTGATACATTTTAAGGGCGTAGGGCGGAGAAGTATATAACAGTGGTTGACACTATCGATGATTGAAAGTGAACTTATTCGACGATGGTCAGCGTATTTATCAGCGATAACTTCTTGAATATTAGAATGATTAAAAATGCACCCTAGGATGAAGATGCATACTCCTCCGATTAAAATCGATGGTGATCCAGTAATGAAATCGACGAGAGAAAAACTCGTCCATCCATCATTACAAGTGTGCGATCAAACAACGTTGGGGGGGTAGGATCGAGCCTCGGAAACGGTAGCCTACAACCAAGTGATCAGTTTGGGTCGACCTACTAGTCCCAATCAAACGCCGTGTTGCCGTACCTCAGAAAGCCTCAGTATGGTCGCGAGTGGTTGGCTCGGGTTGTGGTCGCTCACACTTCCCTTACACCTCACGAAAAGCTTCTATACGACCAAGCGTCTCGAATATTCGTAGCCAGTGCCTTCCCGTGGTTTTTCCAACAAAACGAGAACAAAAAGCTAACATCCGGGGCTATGAAGGGATGGGTGAGTCCCTGGCATGTCATCTAAGGAGTTAGCTAGAAACCCGGATTCCAAAAGAACCAAGGGGTGCAAGAAAATAATCACACCTTTTCGGTTGTGGCAGAGGGCACCGGCTCGATTGGGCACCTTGGACGGTTGATCTTCTGTACACCGACTCCCAGTGGATTATTGCTGTCACACCACGGTACTGTCGGGCATTGGTTAGTAAAATGCCCTGATTTCGAATCCTAGAGAATTCACTTTTTTGACCTGAGTAACCTACCCGCTAGCAAGTCATCAACTTTTTCCCTTAAAAAGATGATTGTACTGTAACGTGTTTGATCTGCAGTCTGTAACTGTTGTTCTTAGATAAGCACAATCGATGATGGGTACAGAGCTAAAGTTGGTGGTACGAGGGAAGTGCAAAGCAAAGCGGCCTGGTATACAGGTTTGGATTGTGCTATTTTCAACCTGCATGTTAAAACTACATGCCAACATAATTATATCAGAGCTGAAGCTCCGCTGGATTGACTCCGTAAGTCTGTCATGAAGTTAGTCCTTTTGTACAATAGGACTGTTATCAGTATAGCGAACGAACACCTTTTGGTGTTGCTTGCGCCAGAGACGTTTGTTGGACCACCCTCGAGCGATCCTGCATCTTGACATGGCCTAGATAAAGAAGTTAACGAGGTTTTAAAATCTGTAATTCATGTGATTGCATACTATGTGCAAAGCTATTTACCAACGGTGTTCCGCGAACGACAACGGAGTTGCCTAAGGGGATGTTATGGACTTGAATATGGGGTAAACGGAGGGGATCGGGAGTAGAAGCAAAAAAATTAAAATAAGATTGTCCAAACAATAGCCTGATTATTGCTACTCACACAGTTGGATGCATGAGTACAGTTTTGGCATCCTGTGCGAAGATCGATGCATTACACTTGGTCTGTGTTCATTGGAACATTATCTATGGGAACTGATAGGGAGTTCAACCACAAAGAATCCTTTGGTTTGGACAAAAACCTGACCGCATGGAAAGGTGAAGACCGATCTACTGGGGCCAATACTCCGTTTATTTTTAAGAATGAGAGGATAACCCGATTCGAACCTCTAATCTGAGGGGCCAAGAGACCGGATTTCATCTGAACTCCGAACCCTGAGATTCTACACATGAGTGTGGCTTTGGCTTAAAAGGCCACTCTGTGTAGCTCGTTGGGTGCAAAACCCATCACACCACGTTGCTGCACAGTCTATTTGGGGGCTCACCAAACGAGCTAACCCCAGCACAGGATAGTTAAACAAGGGTAAGATGACCCACGAAACTAAAGTTAGCAATCGACAGATACAAATCAACACCGACTATAGACATGCGATGTTGTGCCAACGGTTAATTTAGCTTCTCACAAATTAAATTTGGGCAGGGACTTTGCCTACTTTTGTCTAAAGCAGTTTGACAAACAGCCAGGAAAATGACACATTGGTGTCGAACAAAAAAAACGAATGAAACAATGAATGGATTGGTGGCTCATCATTTGTTTGCATGAAGTCCGGATTATCGGTCCGGACACGTCTAAAGAACTACATCTGCCAGCAACTATTATAAATTAACCAAGTACAATTCTCGTACTCATAGAGATGCTGTACACTTACCTTTTCTTTAGCCTACTCACATGAGCGACCCTTGGGACTGCATGATGACGCAACTTTGTTGATCAGGTTCTACTGTGAACTTCAATGGGCAATGTATTACACTTCATAGCATTGTAGAGCCCTTTCAACAGTGGCCGTTTTATTTTCACCTTATTTCACAGTTACCCTAGGGATGGCCTATCCAACCTTCGTAAATTTCACTTATCCAGAGCGGACTCCGTCAAGTACATCTGAGTGGCATAAAGTACCAAAATTATCTAAGCACTTCACATTATCAACTACGTGCTAGTTCAATTGACTTTATTTTGGAATTCCAATGGTCGGGAAGTTGTGTGAACTCTTGGTTTCTCTCTATTCTAGTGTTCTGCTATTTTTTTAGCAACAGTAAGGAAAGTGCTATACAAATTGTACCGTTTACGGAAATCGTAAGCCCGATATGGGATTTAAAGACCTACGAGTATAGGAAAATTTTTCGACAATCCTATCCGTCCTGTACACGATCTCAGATAATGACCTCTTTATCGCATTATTCCCAGCAGAAGAGACCTTCGTGGAAATTATTTATTGATTCACCGCGTACGAGCACCAGCGAGCCAAAATCTGGCCACCGCCGAACCACGCGCTAACCTTCTATGCGTCGCGCTATCTTCCCTGGGAATGTGTTTCTGATTAACTTTGTATCTCTCCTGGTCAACTTAACTATTTGCTAAAGCGTAAGCCTTACTCTTGCACTTGAGTATACAATTATGTCGGCGGTCAACTTCGACAACTGCAGCAGTAACAGCTGCCAACTGAGGGAAAATTCCATTCGTATACTGTGGTAACCGCGTCACCTCTAGTGTTCAATTTCATATTATTTTATTACACACCTCCGTGTGAAGAACAGCAGACGGGGATCAACCCCGTAGTCACGAAGACCTGCTGTACATTGATGGAAACCGGTAACCCAAGCCCCGGGACTTGGAGTGGCGAACCACATAAGGCACCGAAAGGTTAGGTGGCATTGATAACCGCTTGTGGATGTATTCGCCCACAAACAGCGTAGTGTTCCTCGTAGCAGCTCCCAAACGCTCGCAACGATAAACCGTTGGTTTATGACTACATACGTCTGAAGCAGTCACATTTATGCCGACACTCGTTTTTCGCTTGTTTCTTCCCTTTGAAATCTCGAACTGACAACACAAAANCTATATGCTGTGAATGTCACGTAATTCACTCATCCTTTTTTGCGGAGTTTTTAAAATCGATGATAGAGAATCTCTGAGTATGTTCTACATGATAACTACGATCTGGGTAAAAAGGAAGCAAAATCTTATAAACATTTACTCGACCAAAATGTAGCAAGATATCCACAGGCGTGCGCTTGTAATGCAGTTGCACCTTTGGTACATTTTTGCTGATTAACCACTTGGCATGTATGTTGACAGGTTTAAACACTACTGCACGGTTGCGACTCTGCGACTCCAAAGGTTTCTAGGACTTGCATGACCGAAAATCCTTGAGCGACAGAAATTGTTAATCTCACGTTCAACACTTCGGTTACTTGAGTCCCGTAGTGTAACTTCTAGGATGGCTGGTAAAGCCATAAGGTCTATGAGTGACTAAGATAACCCGTGTCGGAAAAATTTGAAAACACGAGTGGTCAAGTGAAACTCTGTTCTAAGTACTATCCTGACAGCAACAAGTAAAGAATAACCTGAGATCCAACAGTTCAGAATTTGTATGGATAAGTCCCTTCTTCCATTTGAGCCTCCCAATCTTCGACCTATGGAGATCAAAGATATCAGGTGAAATGACATACCCAGAATCGGGGGCAAATCAAGTGATAGGCTCGGTGGAAGTAGTTGCAAGGAGGATAATCGTCTCCAAAGAGCTTTTTACAACGAAAGTAATCAACGAAATTCTGCCGGCAGTTCCTGGAAAACAATGACGTTAATACTTGAACACTCACGATGCTTGGTTCGTATTCGGAAATCTTGGATCGTTAGGAACAAATGTCAGCCACGAATAATCACCCTGATCAACAGCTGAACGGGGAAAACGAGGATATTACCGTCTTCTTTGATTCTCTCGCCCTACGCCCATATTCCTCCATATCGATAGCATGACCCGGGACAAGACCAGGCGGAATATCGGGGTTGTTCGACGCCATCTTAGTTACAACCGAAGACACGAAAACACGTCGACCTTGAGCTTCAGGTCAGTTCGGGTTGTCTTGAAGTCTTGAAGTGATTCACGGGTTCGAAGCTGTTGCCCAAATGTCCCGGGTCCTTGAAAGGTATTTGTGGTTTGAATTATTTCTAGAACAGAGAGTACTGAAAAGGGATTAGTAGAGTTCCCCGCTCGGCGCACGTTACCATCCGGCACCCCCCAATTTTTTGCTTAATTTTGGGTCACTAGAGAAACGGATACTGTAAAATGTTTTCGATATTTTTTAGACAGTTTTAATGTATAAAATATTGTTCTGTTTGATGATACACGAAAGTCCATTTTTACATGGTTTGTTTTAAATTGTGAACTTGAAACATGTTGGACGGGTCTAAAATGTAGGGGATGCTACACGATATTCAAAGAGAGGCGTGTAAGGGGTATATGCAAGAACGCCATTCATTGCCGCTAACACTTACTTATGCATGTGGTCGTACAGTGAATATGCAGGAGTCCTCCCGCAGCCCGGAGCACATTGTTCCTTAGGTTACAAACATATTTGTCCACCACACAGACGGTTTCAACAACCCCATACGACGTGTTTATACTAATAAAGTTGACTCCTTTTTGGAACTATATCAAAAGACGCTTGAAAAACGCTACGGGGTCGGTCTGAAATCTGCTGTGGGAACATCTAGATGGAGTACAGTACCGAAAGTCGTTTAGTCTTTCTATACAGACGTTTAAAAATGACTTTCATATTTATTTGAAACATCTTGCACAGTTGTATCCATGTTCAATACCATTTACTATTTATTAGATTATTTTTTATATATTTCGGTGCTTCAATTTCCTGGAGAAATATTTCACTACTTATGAGCAGTATTTTTATGTTTACGAAAATCGCCGAGGAGGGGGTGCCGGATGTTAACGTGAGCCCCCCGCTCGAGGAGAAATAAAATGAAGACTTGCGAACTCATATATAATTCAAAATGTTTTTTTTTCTTTTTATTGGGGAAGAGTAGATAAACCTACGCGGCGGTCAAGACGAAGTTTAAAG